CAGCTCTTTTTTCTCTCTCACCCCTCATATCTAATCAGTAAGCCTTCTTACTTCTTCCTGTACAATATCTCTCACATATGTCCCCTTCTCCCTACTCATATGGCTACTACCATAGTCCAACTCACTAATCTAGTTCATGTCTCCTTAGGATTCTAGCAGTAGATTGCTTACTGGTCTCCTAGCTTTTGATCTCTCTCCTACCCATCCATACTCTCCACAGAACTGTTAAATTGATCTTCCTAACTAGAAGCTGGTTAATAAAATAAAATAAATTAGATTAGTTAATCTGATTTTTTAGAAGAGAGAACGAAACTAAATTATCAATATCAAGTTGGTGTTTCTAAAAGCCCAGGTATGACCGTGTCACTTCCTTGCTCAGAAAAATTGCAGCATTTCCCTTTGTCTTTACAATAAAATATAAATTCCTCCATTTGGCATTTAAAGCTTTTAGACCCCCTACTACCTTTCCAGTCTTCTTACATTTTATTCCCTGTCTAACATATCTTTGATCCAGTGACACTAGCCTCCTGGATATTCCAAGAATAAGACCTTTTATCTCTCGGCTCTGTGGAATTTTCTTTGTCTCCTATGCCTGGAATGCTCTCCACCCTTTCCCATTACTGACTTCCCTGGCTTCCTTTAAGTCCCAACTAAAATCCCACTGCAGGAAGCCTTCCCTAATCTCTCTTAATTCCAGTGCTTTCCCTTTATTAATTCCTATTTATCCTGTATATAGCTTGCATTGTATCTATTTGATTGCATGGTGTCTCCCCCATTCCATTGTAAGCTCCTTGAGGGCAGGGACTGTCTTTTACCTCTTTTTGTATCCCCAGTGCTTATCACTGTGCCTGGCACATTGAGTATCATGCATTACTCTCCTCCATACACTAGCTACTTCTCCCAGCCTGATTTGTTTGCTCTTCCCCACGTATGACATTCCATCTCCCACAGCTCTTTGCCTTTGCCCAGACTCTCCCATGCGTGGAATACCCTCTCTCCTCACTTCTGCCCCTGAGAATCCCTAACTCCCTTCAAGCCTCCTCTGAAGAACCCCTTCCTACTGAAGTTCCATTCTTAATCTCTCTAGTTGTTAGTACCCTCCCTTCCATGAATTAATTTGTGTATATTTTCCCAATAGCAACTTGACATAGAGACTGTTTGCTATTTATCTTTTTTTCTGCTCAGCATTCCTGCACAGTGCCTGGCCCATAGGGATTTAACAAATGCTTGTTGAATTGAACTGGCAGTCATATACACACACCTCACTTCCTTTCACAGTAAATAGCCTGCATGTGTCCTAAAGATCAAGCATATTCCCAAATGTCAAAAATCAAGAATCCATTGGCTATAAAGAGCTTGAAGTTAGTGTTCAAAGAAAACAGTGTAAGAGGCTGATAAATATAGAAAAATGCCCTTTTAGAAAATCTGGACGTGACCAGAGAATCATATAAGGAGAAGACCTTGAAAGGTCATTGAGTTCTTCCCCCTGCCTCCAGGCAGGAGCATAGCTATAGTTTCTCAGGCTGATGATATTTTAAGAGACTTACAAGAAAGTGGATCCCCAGGAACTAATTCTGTTAGTTCTCAACAGCCACAACACTAGCCTCAAAAAGTGGCAAATGGTGGATCCCTGTCAACCTAGAGGGATATAGATAGAGAGATAGAGAGACAGATAGATTAGATATAGATGGATATAGATATAGATATAGATAATAGAATGCCCCAGGTCTTTGTACTTGGCCCTGTTCTGTTGAACACTTTTATTAGTCACTTAAATGAAGGCTTAAATGGTATACTTACATCTGAAGATAACTTGAAGCTTCAATTCAATTTGACAAACATGTATTATGTGCCTACTACATGTATTTTGTACACATAAAACACTATGGTGCATTCTAGGAAAGATAGGATCAACATGGACCCTGCTTTTAGATATAGCATATACATAAATAAGTATTTATATGATATTGAACAGAATACAGACAACTTGGGGTTGGGGGGAGGGTGTGATAGCATCAGAAAAATCTTCTTGACAGCTAAGTGGAGAATGGATTGGAATGGGGAGAGACTTGAGCCAAAGAGAACAATTAGAAGGATATTGGATTTGTCAGGTAATGAGGTGGTGAGTTGCCATGTGTGTGGAGAGAAGAGAATATACTAACTGTGTTATGGAGTTAGAAGGTATGAGTTGACAACAGATTGGATGGGGGTGGTGGGTGCAGTGTGAGTGTAAGTGAATAGTTGAGGATGACATTGAGGGTTGTGTTCTTGGGAGCATGGTCATTCCCCAACAGTAATAGGGAAGCTGGAAAGACAGGAGAGTTTGGGGAGAAAGATAATGAATTTTGTTATGGACATGTTGAGTTTGAGATGTGCATGGGACATCCAATTTATGATGTCCAGAAAGCAGTTGAGGCTGCAATGCTGGAGCTCAGGAGTGAGGTTAGGAATGGATCTGGGAAGAAGAATAGCTAAGATTTATATAGCACCTGCTTTGTGCCAGGCACTGTGCTAAGCACTTTACAATTATTAATCTCATTTGAGCCTCACAATAACCCTGGGAGGAAAATATTATTATCCCCATTTTACAGATGAGGAAACTGAGGCAGATTAAGGGACTTGTCAAGGGTTATACTGCTAGTAAGTGTCTGAGGAGAGATTTGAACTCAGGTCTTCCTTACTCATGGCCCTGCACTCTATCCACTGAGCCTAACTGCCGAACCATATGCATAGAGATCCTAGCTGAACCCATGGGAAACTACTAAAGTGAGACAGCATAGGAGAAGAGGGCCCAGGACAGAACTGTGGGAGGCACATTTCCTTGAATCCCTTGCCCTCTCATCGTATCACAGTTCATGCAATGCCAATTCTTAAACCTCATTCACTTGTACCATCTGATTTGTGCTGCTGAACACTGCTGAAGGAAGTCATGCAACCATGCCAGTTTGGATTAAGAATTCACATTATATCATCTCAATGGGACTTCAGTGCTACGTAATAATCCTTTTATTCTTTTCTGATTGACGGTCTATCGTGTTCCGTGAAGCATCTCTTCCATACCTTCTGTCCTGAAGCTCCCTAACACCACCCCCTTTCCTTCCATTTAAAAAAAAAAATTTCATCAGAACTCACCTACTTTACTAAGGAGAGGTCCCGGATTTCCCCCACTCTACATCTTCCACCCACATTCTCACATCTTCTTCTTTGTTCCAATTTCTAACAAGAGGGCCCTTCTCCTTGGCCTATTTTTGTGTTCTCTCTCTCTCTCTCTCTCTCTCACACACACACACACACACACACACACACACACACACACACATACAGGAGTATCATTATATTGTTCAGACATGTCTGACTCTTCATGACCCCATTTATGGTTTTCTTTGCAAATATACTGCAGTGATTTGCTATTTTCTTCTCCAGATCACTTTACAGATGAGGAAACTGAGGCAAACAGGGTTAAGTAACTCACCCAGGGTCACATTGTTAGTGGAGTGTCTGAGGTCAGATTTGAACTCAGAAAGATGAGTCTTCCTGACTCCAGGCCTAACAGCCAACCACTGCACCACCTAGCTGTCCTTTATATTTCCCAGAGGCAAAAGGGAACCATGAAGCTTCCTGAGCAGGGAAGTAACATGATCAGACCTGTACTTTAGGAATGTTAGTTGAATAGCAAAGTGGATGATAGATTGGAAAGGAGGGAGACTAGAAAGGAAAACCAATTAGTTATCTATGGCAGTAGTTCAGGCAAGAGGTGACATGCTATGAGTGGAGTGAAGTATTCAGATGTGAGAGATGCAGAATTGGCAGGACTTGGCAACTAATTAGCTATGGAGAGTGAGTGAGAGTGAAGAGTCAAGAAGGTGTCCTAAGCTATAAACCTAGGTGACTGGGAAGAATTATTGGAACTCTCAAAATAGACATTCGGAAGATGAGGCATAGGGGGAAATACAATAATTTTGTTTTGGATATGTTGAGTTTTCTCAACATATGTTGTCTATAGGACATCCAAGTGGAGATGTCTAGCAGCAATTGGAAATGTTGGCATAGAGCTGAGGCAAGAGATAAGGGCTGAATGTGTGGGTTTGAGAATCACTGCATAGAGGTGATAGCTGATTCCTTAGAAGCTGGTGAGATCTCCTAGGGAGAGCAAAGAGGGCCCGGGATAGAGTTTGGAGATATAAACGAGGTTGACACATGGATTATGATACTTCAAAGGAGACAAAGAAGAACAAATTACATAGGTTTGGAGGAGAATCAGAACGGAGCAGAGAAATGAAAACCCAGAAATATTCAGGACAGTGTGGTCAACAGTGTCAAATACTGTAGAAAGGACAAGAAGGTTGAGAATAGAGAAAAGTCTAGGCATTCGGAAAAGGTCCTGGGAGTTTTAATGGACTGTGAGCTCAAAAAGAGCTAATGCTACATTGGGCTTTATTAACAGCAGAATAATGTCCAAATTGAAAGTGGTAATATGCCTGTTGTGTTCTCCTTTGGTTAGATCATATCTGGAGTATTGCATCTAGTTCTGGGTGGTGGTGTTCAGTTGTTCAGTTATTTTAGTCATTTTTTTCACTTCGTCACCCCATACTGAAACGGTTTTCCATTTCCTTCTCCAGCTAATTTTACAGATGGGGAAACGGAGGCAAACAAGGTTAAGTGACTTGCCCAGGGTCACACAACTAGTAAGTGTCTGAGGCCTGATTTGAACTCAGGTAGAAGAGTCTTCCTGACTCTAGCCCTAGCACTCTATCAACTGCACCATCTAACTGGCCTTATTGTTAAGCCTTATTTACAAAGGTTCACAGGATGGTGAACAAGATAGTAATAAGCTACCAAGTAGCTATTTGGCCTTGAACAAGTCACTTTACTTCTCTCTCTCTCTCAGTTTCCTGATTAAAATAAAAGGGTTGGATTCCATCTCTAATGCCACTTCCAGCTCTAATATCCTCTGGTTCTGACAATAATTAACTCAGTTTCTTTTCATCCCGTGAGCGCAGCAAACTGCCCGACCGACGTTCTTTGCACGTAAATTTGAGGCTGTGGTGAATCAAGAAATAATTGGCCAGCTGGACTATTACCTTTATGGGAATTATCCCTCGGGCACCCCAGGTCTGCGGTCCTACTGGGAGAATGTCTATGATGAACCTGATGGGATCCACAGTATCAGTGATGTGGCATTGACCATGTACCACTCATTTACCCGCCTGGGCCTCCGGAGAGCTGAGACATCTTTACACACCAATGGCGAGAATAGCTGCAGGTGAGCCCAGAGGCCCTTTGCTTTTCCTTATAAGACGCCTAACCATGGGGACCAAAGACAACATAAGCTGGGTTGGGTAAACTAGTTGGCCATGAGAGAGAGGGGAAGAAGAAGGAAACAAAGGGGGAATCAGTATTTGTTAGGTGTTTGGGAGATTTTCCTTTTGTTTTATTTCTTCCAAGGGGATGAAAACTATTTGAATTTCTGAATATATATTAGCTCATGAGTTCTTAATCTTCTTTTGTGTCCTGGACCCTTTGGGCAATCTGGTAAAACCTATGGGCCCTTTCTCAGAATAGTATTTTTAAATACATAAAATAAAATACATAGGATTTGTAAGGAAATCAGTTATAGTGAAATACAGTCATTAATTTTTTTTCAGTCTTTTTTTTTTTTCTTTTTGGTGAGGCAATTAGGGTTAAGTGACTTGCCCAGAGTCACACAGCTAGTGAATGTTATGTGTCTGAGGCTGGATTTCAACTCAGGTTCTCCTGACTCCAGGGCTGGTGCTCTATCCATTGCACCCCCTAACTGCCCCCCCATTAGTTGTTTTTAAATGTCCATCAATCCCAGGTTAAGAAGCCCTACTCTAGGTTTTGCTTCTTCTTCCCCTCCCCCCCAACTCCTTCCCCCTTCTTTTTCATCTCCTCTTCCTTCCTTCTTTTTCTCTCTTCCTTTTCTTTCTTCTTCTACCTTCTCTTCCTTTCCCTGTCTTCCCTCCTTTATGATACCATGGGTGGTGGGGAGGTGGAATGAAAGGGAGAGAAGTATCATAGGATCACCGACTGAGAGCTAGAAGAGACTTAGACATCATATAATTCAAATCCCTCATTTTACAGGTGAGGAAACTGAGGCCCAGGGAAGTTAAGTGATTTGCCCAAGGTCACATAGGTTGGAAATAGCAGAGCCGGGATTAGAACTCAGGTTCTCTGGCTCCAAATCCAGCATGCTTTCCATTGTCCTATGCTTTCTCTTCAAGTAAAGTCTCCTTTTTTTCCCTCCCACCACGAATCCCAAACATACTGCCTCTTCCCTGAGCTTCCTTCCTGCTCTGTAATGTCTTCTTATCAAGTATCCCTGCAAGACAACTAAAGTGACAAATAGAATTTCCCATCATCAGCTAGTGTACTAAGGCCTCTCGCTTTACAGATATAGGTATAGAGTTAAGAAGTCCTTGCTTTAAATCTCTCTTGGTTCAAGTCACATTCGAAGTGTGACTCTAGGCAAATCAATTAACCTCCTAGTGCCCTAGAACTCAATTTTCTGTGTACCAGACAGCTCTCTAAAATTAAAAATTGTATAATACTCATTAATCAGCATTAGTGGAGGGAGTTTTCTCCCTGGGAGTTCCCTATACCAATGAAATCACATATCCAGGCCAAAAAAAACAAACAAAATTATCATCGTCATGACAGAGCATGTCTCCTTATAGTGTACTTACAAAGACAATTCACATCCTTTTGTTGACGTAGGCTTTCCTTGGGCAAAATATTCTTGAAATAAGCAGGCTGGAGCTTGGAAATCTTTGAGGGTTATACCAGGTAATGGTGTACTCCATTTTAAGCAATCCTAGCATATAAAACCTGAATTTATGAAACAAATCAATTAAGGAATGATAATTTCCATTCTAAAAAGGTTTGTTTGGCTTACAAAAGGAGTCACTGGCAGAGAGTCTTTAAAACAGACCCAGCTCCCCCATTGCTTTTGCAATAGATTTTGATTTATACCCTCTTTAGGAGAATTTCTGCAGCTGAAGGTGAAGTACAAGCGTATTAGTCATCATAGCATTGGATCTTTAGGACAGACCAGCAAAGGACCAAAACATATGCCCTAGAAACCTGTGAGCAGTACCTGGTTACACTTCTGTCAACTGTGGATTCTACTGTCAAGTAATAACAGTTGCATTGTTTTTGCTTTATTTTTTTCCTTGTCAAAGCTCTGAAGGAAAGACTGTGTGTGTGTGTGTGTGTGTGTGTGTGTGTTTATGTGTTTAACCCAGCTGCCTTTGCCCAAGAAGCCATTTTAAGAGGCACACACATTTCATTTTTTCTTTATTTCACATCTCATCCTTTGTAACAAGGCAATGATTTCAAGAAATGGATAAACACAGGAGGTTTATATAACCATTGTAATTGGGCATAAAAACTTAGACTTCAGATGGAGACTGGAAGGAAACTTATATTTAACAGAATGGGGGCAGTAATTTGTGGAATGCTGTTATTATGGGACAACAAGTACAGTATAAGTGCTGGACAATTTAAACTTTGTTGAAGCGGGCAGCCTTTTATTTTACAAGCTATTAAGGATTCTGAGCTCTTGTAACTTCACTCCCTCTCTCAGCATTCTCTCACTTCCTCCTCTTTCTCTCCCTTCTCTCTCTGTCTCTCTCCCCACCCTCTCTTTCCTCTCTCTCCCTTTCCCTCACTTTCTCCTTCATTCTCTCCTTTTTTCCCCTTCCCTCCCCTTTTCTTCTTTCTATCTTTTTCTTTTCTCCAGTTATGCCTGAGCACTGCATTGGGTGCTAGGCAGAGGGTGAACAGAGGAGGTATGTAAAGAAGACTTTGGAATGGGGGAAATATAGACTATAGACTATACATGCATAAATAATTTCATAATACCAGCAAATGAATATAGTACACACTGAGTGTGGAGACAGTGAAGAAAAAGGAAAAGTGTAATTGGTCAAGTGGGATTAATTCCAGGTAGCTTCCTAGAAGAAGAAATTCTTTTGTGTTGATTTTAAAATGGAGAAGTAGGGGTAATTAATCTGTTCTATGAGTAAGAAACCATTTCAAATGTGTTTTCCTTGGGGTTAGGGGGTGAGGGAGTACCAGAGATTTGCACAGCTTACAGATTTGTATTTTGGGTACCTTCTTGACCCTCCCTGAGTGCATGCATCACTCCCACCCAAGGAGACAGTGTCATAAGACCTTAAATGTTGAGCTGGAGAGCATCTCAGAGGCTATCTAAGCCAACCCTCTCATACTGTAAATGAGGAAACTGATTGTCCAGGAATGGCCAGTGACCCACCCAAGGTAGTAATCATCAGAGGTAAAATTCAAGCAGAGGATAGGAGCTGGCCCCTTACACAGCCAAACATGTAAACCAGGCTTCTTTTGCATAAATCACTAAGGGACTTTTGCCACTGAACTGAGAGAGACTTTTTTAATGTTAGGGTTTCAGTTGAAGAGAGAGGAATAATTACTCCCAATTTCCTATCTCACCTTATACTGTGCATCTCCCATCCATCTGTTGCTTCTTGACTTTGCAAGGAATCCAGGATGGAAAAGGAGAAGAGAGAAAGGAAAAAGAATTGTACTCTGGAGCAGCTTATATAACACAATAGAGAAGAGAGATGGTCTTGGAATCAAAGGAAGCAGGTTCAACTTTGAGCTATGCTCAAAGCACATATACCCTAAGCGAATCACGTAATCCTCTGGTTTCAGATTCCTCATTTCTAAAATCAGAGGATTGGCCAAGATGACCTCTGAGGACATTCCAGCTCTGAATGTATATACTAGAAAACTTTAAGTTAAGTTAATCCATATATTAAGAACTTGCTGTGTGTCCAGCCTTATACTAGGCTAGGCGGTGTGTTTATACCCACTCAGAAGCAAGAGTTGGCCATTTAAAATAGCTCCTCATTGCCTTCCTCTTTTCTCCATCTCACACACTGATCAAGAAGGACAAGTGTGCATATGACCTAGGAAACTAAGAGAAGGTTTAGGTTACTTCCAATAAGTATTCTGGTGGTCAAAAATATTGCCAAAATAGAGTCAGACTCTCACTGGGGCAGCCGCTGCTAAGAGTCTCCCCTTTCAGAAGTGATCCTTTAGTTGCATCTCATTGATTCAGGCTATTCCTCAACCACATATTTGCCACTGCCTATCATGAAACCAGTAGGTCTTGGGATCCCAAACAGCAGTGAGATGATTGCTTGTGTTGGTTGCTTGGCCTTGTGGGCTGTTTTTCCATAGTCCATTAGTGTTAGTCTTGTTTATAGCTTGCTGGGCTGTACTTATTCCAGAAGCTATGTGAACAGAATTGCATAGTGTCAGGGGCTGTAAGAAAATACCACTTCCTGACTGGCTATCCTCATTAAGCGTATTCCAAATGAAAAGTTGACCCTCTCTTCTTTGGCTGCTTGCTTTGGTGGTTGTTACTCTTACCTTAGTTCCATGTCATTGGAATTCACTTATCAACATGTGCTTCCTGAATGGGGAGGTTAGAGGGAGAAGTAGATCTGAATATTTGCAGGCTCACCTATTGAAATTTGCCTGTCCTCCTCCTACCTGTCACCCACAGGTCCCTGAAAGATCCTTGATAGGTCCTTGACCTAAGATTTAGAGTTTTTTTAAAGAGACCTTAGAGGTCATCTTTGCCAAGGCCTTCATTTTATAGCTGAAGAAACGAGTCCCTAACTGGTTAAGTGGCCTGCCCAAGGGTACACAGGTAGTAAGTGACAGAATTGGGAATCAAAAGCAGGTCTTTTGATGCTAAAATCTCTGACTCTTCTCAATATGACATGTTCCCTATGACCACTTGTTCTGGACCCATGATTTCCACTGGTATGGGGAAGACCCAATAAAGGGACTCCCTTCTATCAATACAAGTTGGCACCTTCTCTGCAATTTATAGTCTTAGGGAGTTACCTCAAGTGCTGAGAGGTTTGGTGATTTCCCCAGGGTCACATAGACCTCAGAGGCAGGACTTGAACCCAAGACTTCCTGACTATCCACTATGCCACAATGCTCAAGGCTAATCATAGTTTAGTGGAGTGGCAGCCTGTGGCATTTTTGCCTCAGGTGGTACATAATATCATTGGATCATAAAGTTTAAAGTTTAAAAAAGCTTTTCCAGATAATCTAGCCTAGATATCTCATTTTATAGATATGAAAACAGGACTAGAGAAATGAAGGAAAGACAGTGTATGGTATAGGAAAAACAGCAAAGCTAAGGCAGGAAACCTGGGTTGAAATACCTCTGCTGGCATTAACTATATATATCACATTGGGCAAGTCCTTAATCTCCTTGGGCCTCATCTGTTTCTGCATCTATAAAATTAGGGAGAAATTGAATCAAGCAACCCAAGAGAGATTTTCAAGTTTGACTTCTGTGACCCTATGAAGTGACTCATCCCAGTATCACACCAGTTGTGTCAGAGCTTGGATTTGACCCCATGTCCTCTAGGTCCAAATCTAGGGCTTTTTCCACTACACCATACATCACCTAATGATTCTGAGTGCCACAGCTCTTGTCAAAATTATCTAGTAAGCTGTTTGTCTTTGGTCACCAATCACCTCTCACATCAGTACCCCCTTGCATCTTCCTTACATGGCCTAAGGAGTTGACTCAGCAATAAAACCCATATCTTCTATTCAGCAGGCCAGCCTTATTAACCCAAACCTACAATAGGCTAAGTGCTTAAGAAGTAGTGCCTCTCAGCCTCCCTTGGCTCTGATTTGGGCATGCTCCCAGTCATGAATGTGTGTTTCTATTTTTCAGGTACTATCCAATGGGTCATCCAGTGTCTGTTCATCTGTACTTCCTTGCTGACCGTTTCCAAGGCTTCCTAATCAAACACCATGCAACAAATCTAGCTGTGAGCAAACTGGAGACCCTGGAAACATGGGTTATGCCAAAGAAAGTCTTTAAGATTGCCAACCCACCCAGTGATTTTGGGAGACTTCAGTTTTCAGAGGTATGAATTACATAAGATACTCTCTTTACTCTTGTTTCAGCCCTCTCATGTACTCCTCCTTTTCAAACCTTGTTTTTAGGAAAGTGGATAAAGGACAAAGATCCTGGTCATGCTAAATTCTGGATATCTGCTGGCTCACTAACATCCTAAAAATGTTGCCCAGGTTCACCCATCAGTACCAGCCTCACCCTGCATCTAATCAATCAGATTCAACAATCGATCTGAAACAGTCAATGAATATTTATTAAGCACCTGCTATGTGTCTGACACTGTGCTAGGCACTGAGGATACAAGTAAAAAAGGACTGAAACAATCCCTACTCACAATGAGTTTGCATTCTAATGGGGAAGACAAGTACATGTGAAAATATATCTAATAAATACTTATTTATATGTGTATATATGTATATTGTGTACATGTGAAGATATACCTATATGTATATTATGTGTATATGTAGAGAGAGATATATCTACATATATGGAAATATACATATCTATATATGGAGATATACTTATCTCCATATATATACATACACACAAAATTTTAATACAGAGTAGTTTGGGAGGAAGGGCCCCAGCAATTGAGGGGATCAGGAAAGAATTAATGAAGAAGATGGTACCCTGGACTGCATCTTAAAGGAAGAGAGGGATTCTGTGAGGCAGAGACAAGGAGTAAGTGTGTTCCAAGGGGGAATGGCCAATGAAAAGAGATGGAGATGAGAGATGGCGCACTGTGCACAAGGAACAGAGGGAAGTCTAGTTTGTTTGGATCACAGAGTACAGTGCCTACTATGTCACCTAGCACCTATTAAGCACTTACTACGTTCAAGGCAACATACTAATCAGAGGATGGAGTGTCATATTTGAGGAACTACAAGGGGACTAGTGTCAATGTACATGGATAGGAATAAGGTAAAAGGATACCAGAAAAGTAGGGGGGAAGGAAGTTATGAATGGATTAAAAGTCAAATAAAGGATTTTATATTTGATCCTGGAGGTAACTGGGAACTACTGGAGTTTATTGAATATGGTAGGCAATATGAAGAGACCTGTACTTTAGGAAGATCAATTTGACAGCTGAGTGGAGGAGGGACTGGAGTGGGAAGAGACCTAATGCAAGGGAGCCAACCAGCAGGTAATTGCAATAACCCAGATATAAGGTGATTAGGCCTTGCACCAAGGTGATGGTAATACAAGGCATTGTGCCAAATTCCAGGGCTACAAAGAAAAAAACTAAAAACAATGCCTGCCTTCTTCAGGGAGCTAACATTCTAGTGGGAGAGGACAACAAGGAAACAGATAAATAAATCAAGATATTTTGAGAAAGAGAGAAATAGTGTCCTAATAACTAAGGAAAATCAAGTAGGACTTTGTGTAGGAGATAACACTTGAACTGAGCCTTGAAGGGAACAAAGGGTACTAAGAAGCAGAGGTGAGGAGGGAGCACATTCCACACGTGGGGAAATCCTAGCCAGAAGAAGTGGGAGGGGACAACAACCAAAAAAACACTGCAAAGAACATCTTTTCCTGCCTGGTGGGTCAAGTGTGCCATTTGTGTTACCTAAAGCATAGTATTGTGGGCAAAAGACACTTTTTAAACCTTAGAGCACAAAAGAAATGTGAGTTGCTATAATAATTCTCATAATGCAACCTAGTTCCACTCCCAACATGAAGAATTGTCATTTAGTAAACATCTTCGAACTTTTATAGACAGAGAAATGTGTTACCAAATTATCACTTTTGGTTAGAATTCTGTTCTTCTCTGTCCCAGAGTCATAGAATTGATCATATTATTACAGATTTAAAGCTAGAAGAAACCTTAGAGATTACCTAACACAACTTGCTCATTCTACAGATGGGGAAAATGACTTACCTGAGATCACACAGAGAATTAGAATCAGTCAGGATAGGGTCAGGCTGTGTTGATGTTTTTGAGGTTGAGTTATTGTTGTTGTTTTTGGTGTTTTATATTTTAACATTTACAACTTAATTTCATGTATGCATGCAGTATGATAGAATGGAAAGAGTGTTAGATTTGGAGCCGGAGGACATGGGTTCAAATCTTGACTCTGCCCCCTTACTAAAAATGTGACCTTAGGCCAATCACTTAACTTCTGTGGGGCCTCAGTTCCTCATCTATAAAATTAAGAGGTTGGACTAAGTAATTTTTGATGTCCAGCACTCATTAACTTATCCTTTATGCAGAGAATACTGTGGACCCAACATCAGTGAAGTAGGAATGTCTTTACAACTAATAGGCTTTATAGATGTGTAGTGATCTAAGCACACTCTCTTGCCCAGTCCTCCTAATAGCCAACAACATGCATTCCTGAAATGACTGGCCAGGATTAACAGTGCAGTCAATGGCTGAGGCATGGAGTGAAATCGACTAGCTCACAAAGGCTCCATGATACTGACCTCATTAGGACCAAACCCTAATCAGGGGACCTAATTAGACATGGATGTGCAGATTTAGATCTTGAGTCAGGGCTATTCCATTTCTTTAGGGATAGAATGGAGGGTACATGAGGAAAGGGGTCACCATGGATGTTTGCAGAGGTATATCAGAACCAACTCTAACTAGCTTGCAAGAGCCAGTTGTTAAATTTTCAGTGTGAGCCTTTTTGCTGTTGTTGTTCAGTCATTTTTCAGTCATGTCCAACTCCTTGTGACCCCATCTGGGATTTCTTGGCAAAGGTACTGGAATGGTTTGCCATTTCCTTCTTCAGCTCATTTTATAGGTGGGGAAACTGAGACCCACAGGATTAAGTGACTTGCCCAGGGTCACATAGCTAGAAAGTGTCTGGGGCCAGATTTGAACTCACTTAGAAATCAGCAGTCACTACAAATCACAGCTTGATTTATTTCCCCCAGAATCCCTGGGTGTTAAACATTTACCAGCACACTCATATTGCTTTGTAAATATGTCTTGAGCTTAGTAGGAGTGCTACTACACAATGAAGAGTCAGGGAATGAAGTCAACACCAGGTTTGGAGGCCTGATGACTGCAGGCTAATAATAACAATAATTGGCATTTATATAGTGCTGTAATGTTTGCAAAGTACATTATATCTATTCTTTCACTTGAGTCTCACCACACCCCTGTATGTGTGAATGTGTAGCTGTTTTCTGCATTTGACATAAACTAATGATCCTGTGCCATGTCTCCAGGCATCACCCAACAAGCAAAGCACTGACCTGTATGTGCAGCTAAATGCAGAAGCATGTCCAAATGGGGCATCTGCATGATTTTTCTTGTTAAGCCACAAATTTCAATTAAGGCACCAAATTGATTGGGTAGATTTGTGCAGCCATTAAAGAGCCCACTCTATAAATTATTGGCTTTCTGGGGCAATTAGAAGGTGCCACAGTCAGATTCAACACTGGGGCAGGCGCAGCCAATTGGAGACATTAATGTCCCATTAAGGAGATGAATGTTGGGTTCATTCTGTTTATCAACGTGGCTGCTGGGTGACTTGCTGTCTCCATGCCGTGACAAATGATCATGCTTGTCCCATTTCTTGTGATTTGTGAGGGCTCCCATTGTGGGTTTAGTTCTTCAATCCTGGGACCCTTATGTCAAGAAACACTTGACAGAGAGTCAGAGCAAATTAAAAGAGCCCTAAATCTACTATATCCATAGTTTTAAAATTTTCCTCCTCCCCCTCAAGGAAAAAAATAGACAATTAAATTAGAGGAAGAGAGGCAGGTGGTAGAGGGCAGAGGTGCCAAACATATGTGGCCCACAACACTCCTGAATCAGATTAAAACGTAATTGGAAAATATTTAACAAAATAAAAATACAGTGAAACATTAGATAACATTACATTTTAAAACTAAGTTGATATGTGGCCTGCTGGGATCTTTATGTATGGATTAGTGACTTCTGTTTCTATTTGACACCACTGCTATAGGGGATCAAGAGCTGGTCTCAGGGTACCAAAGTGATTTTCCAAATGCTCAGGTTTGATCATGTTCTCCCCCCACTCAACAAATTCCACTGGCTTCCTTGTCTCAAAGGTCAAGTATGAACTCCTTTGGCATTTAAAGTTCTTATGGCTCCTTCCTACCTTTCCAGTCTTCTAATATAATACCCCGCTCAACTCTCTGTGGTCCAGCCATATTGGCCTTACTGTTCCATACACACAACACTCCATGTCCCAACTACATGTTGTTGCTTTAGCTGTCCTCCATGCCTGCAATGGTCTCTATCCTTATCTATACCTTTTTGAACCCACTGGAGTGATAGCCTGGTAAGATGGGAAGGAAGCTAGTTCTGGAGTCATATGACCTGGATTCAAATCCCACCCCTGATACTTAACCTGTTTGATTTTGGCTTCTGTTGACTTCCCTAGGCGTATTTCCTTATCCGTAAAATGAGGGGATTAGACTAGATACCTTTGAGGTCCCTTTCAGCTCTCTATCTATGCTCTTATGGTTTGTTCCTACTGAACACACTGTCTAGGATGTATGAGCCTGGATAATCATTTAACCTCTCAGTACCCCAACATTCCTCTATAAAACTATAAGATACAGAAAGGTTGCTGGTCTGCATTAATAGAGTGAATTTCCTCATTGAAACCTCTTTACTCTGATAAAAATCAGTTTCTTCTAGAGGAGAAAAAATGAAAAGAAAAAATTAGAGGAAAAAAGTAACTGGTGAAGCCTTTTCAGTAAGGTAGACACATTTCTTCTCTATTCTCTATTCTCTATGATTTTCTTCTGGATAGGTCAGTGTGTGTAGTGTGTGCAAGTATGCATATGTGTGTGTTGTTTTTCTAAAATGATTATTTCTTGGTGAGTCACAGGATGGTTCTTGCCCATTTGTAATATTTTATGTCAAGAGGCACCCAAGGCACAAGAGAAATAAAGAGTGTGGGAAGGAAGTCCATGATTAAAGTTTCCCCATTCCTTTTGGGAATCAGCTGTCTTCTCTGGACTCCACAACACATCCCTCTAGGGAACTATAGAGAGTCGCCCATCTCTCTTTATTCTTCTCTG